CCCCCCAAACAAATAGTATTGGCAATTATTTAACCCCCAACTAAATCCAACGGAAGATGATTCCTAACCCCGAGGCCTACTTGAAGGAATCCCTCAAGGCTTTCCGGGCTTCAGAATCTAGCCGTTGGGTTTAGGGTTTAGGGGTTTAGGGTTTAGGGTTTAGGGTTTAGGGTTTAGGGTTTAGGGTTTAGGGGTTTAGGGTTTAGGGGTTTAGGGTTTAGGGTTGCCAGATACTGATGTTCAGTTTCTCCTGGAAGCCACTTCGATCTGCAATCCGAGCTAGCGAAACACCGCCCTAAATCTAGTTTGCAGAACCGAGCACACAGAGAGAGACCGGTGTACGACCGCAGGCTATTTGTTTCGTTTCTCTCCTCCCTTGTGGTACCGTGGCCGCGCCGAACATCCCATCTCCAGAATCCTGGACTCCAGACCCACGTTCCTCTCAAATTCGTTTGAGCTTTAGTAACCTAGTTAGGAATTTCGAAATTTACACTTCTCACCTGGCAGCAAGCAAAACGCTGTTGGACTTGAACCCTAAACCTCATAGAGCAGCTCGAAACCAGCAGTCGCTGCTGGGGACTTAGTGCAATCGATTACCCGTAGCAACGACCCCAAACAAAGTAGACCGCACGCCCAAAACCCCACACATGCTGAACCTTTGACCAAGCCCCAAACTCTTCAACAACGTCTCAAACTCCATGCATCCCCACAGCCCCCAAACCCTCCAGACTACTTGTAGAACCTTCATAGAACACTTAACACCTCATCCTACACCCTAAACCCTTTAACCGCCGAGCCCTAAACCCCTAAACCCCGACCCCCTAAATCATCCCCAACCTCTAAAGCCCTCCTACACTCCAAAGCCCTCCCAAAAAAACATCCAAAGAAAACACCGCCAAAATGGCCCTAAACCCTAAACCCTAAGCCCTCTAAGAGCGCAGGACAAAGCCCTTGAGATGGTCGAAAACCTCAAGGCGAAAGGCATCGGGAAAGGCCGGGCGTCTCACAGTTTGGTTTTTGTTGGGGAGTTTGAGGTTTAGTTTAGGGTTTATGAGTTTGGGTCTAGGGTTGAGGATTTCGGGTTTTATAGTTATAACACCAGGAATCACACACCACGCAGACCGTAATCGTGGCTCACAAGGTTGCTCCTGTATCTTAGAGATCCACTGAGGTTGTCTATATATATATATATGTATATATAAATATATATATACATATA